TACCGGTTTTTAAGACCTTTGTTTATCTTTATCTAGGTATTTTAGTGGAAGCTAAAACGATACGATTTCTGGCTGTATTCCAATGTTTATTCTCTGCAAGTTTTGTCTTAAAAGGATTAATCGTAAAAAATTTGGACGGAGACAAGTGTGGCTAATCGCAAGAGAATGCTGGAAAGGCTTCCAATTGGGGAATGGTCTCGTCAAGTGAAGAGCAAGCGAGAGATTCTTGTGCAATCAAACCAGTCTATTCAAAATATTCAAAGTGAAATTGATAATGTCGGTCATACCTATGAAAAGCTGAAAGACGACAAGGCTATACTGGAAAGCAATGTTAGTGAGTTGAAAAGAAAGGTAATTTATAAAATATGGCTTTAAAATTAGGAGTTCATGTTGATTAATTAATGCATTGGTATTTCTGTGTGCTTTGCTCATGTATACTTGAAATATAGAATTTCAGCATATTATTTTAAGTAACTCTGACTCTAGGATGAGAACTCGGAACTGCATACAGCCGTGCACAGTGTGGTTAGTGAATAGGATGCAGAGGGTCAAATATTAATTAACGAGCAAAATTACCTGGTGTTAAACTGGGTAAAATAGATAGGTAAGAGGCACTGGGGCACATTGCGTCTTAATAGGTTAAATATGAAGCGATTTTGTCTCCCGCTTACCAGAACACACATTCTTGCTTGAGAATGAGAAAGTACACATGCCAAAAGGAAGGAGTGCAGATGCAATCCCAACCAAACTAGATGAGAACAACAGCGATAAAGTAATTGGCATCTCCCATAATCTTGCACGCAAGCGAAGGAAACTGACATACGCTGCAGTGCAAAATATCCATGCAACTGCAAAGGATACTAATGAAGAAGCAAAAACAGCTACTATATGTGGAATATGGCACACTCTAGTTACAAGTGTTCCTAGCAAAGACATTACTGAATTGTGTAAAAAGTCTAGCACATTTGGTAAGAATGTAATACCAACAATAGTTAAGTCGGCAGTAACGAGCTTCGAAAAGTCTCCAAAAAATTTAATCAGATCTGTGAGTGTACTTTACAGAGGCGGGATGTTGAGTAAAAGAAAATATTCTGCTGTGCGCTCGTCTGAAATATTTGATTACGATGTTGCTCAAAAAAAGCGCAGGCGTCATGGCGGACAGTAAACGAATTAAATGGATTGGAACTTTTGATATATTGCAGAAATTTGTCGAATGCGATCTTAAATTGGATGGCAAATGGTCTTCGCCAGGCGGTTGTTCGAAAAAGTTTACGTGCTATAATCTAGATATATCAATAACTTGGTACCCCAAGAAACTAAATACCCTCGTATTTCACGGTGAGGAAAGCTCGGGTTTGGTTGACGCGTTAATAAATATGTGTGCAGAGGCAATCTCTGAAGACGACGGTTTATCAAACAATGTATGTGTGTCGGCCATACATAGTTCGATTGCAACTATAAACCCAGCTGTTGATGAACCCGAACAGATGTCTAATCACTGTATTAAGGACTTTGAACTAACTGATAATCATCAAAAGGTCAGTATAGAGCATGATTTCAAACTTGGGTGTCAGTGTAGAATTTTAGCTGCTGATTTGGAGGGAGTTAAGCTCGATATAGCAATCATGTGCAGGGACATAGAAACTAAGTTTCTTGCAGCTTACAATTCACGGGATAGTGATAGTGAACAAATAAGTGAACTTAAACACGAGCTTCTTAAGGAAAAGGAGAAATGTAGTCAGTTGGAGGCTGATATATCTATTTTGGTTCGAGGAAGGAATAGGGAGATAAACGAATTAAAAAATACCATTACCTGTCTCGAAAACAAACTTAAATCAAGCGATGTCATAAATGAATCTCTAAAGCCCGCCGCACACGAGAGCAACTTGCTGAGCTAACTGCTGAGCTCAGCTATGTATTTTCACCGCACACGTTGAGAAAACTACTCAACAACAACATAATTAACAAAATCATTTGCATTTTCCTCCATTTTGTTCCAGGTCACATGAAGAAACCATGGTTTGTCATTGGCTAATTGATTCAAACAACTCAGCACTTAGCTCACAACATCCGCAGACGCTGAGGTTTTTTCCTCGCGAGGCGAAAAATATCAAACACGATAGATATTTTCCTCAAGGCCTCGAGAGGTCAAATCCTCACGAAAACTATCCGCACACGGGAGCGACTTGCTGAGCTAACCGCCTCGCGAGGCGGTTAGCTCAGCAAGTTGCTCTCGTGTGCGGCGGGTTTAAGACAATCGCTAATGCAAATTAATTCAGAAAAATTCAATGGTGTATTGAGTGCCGAACAAAGCCTGTCAAACCAACCTGAACAAATTAATACTTATAACTGCATCATAGACACTGTAAAATCAATAGAAACTGCAAATTCAAACCTAGGAATTTGTTTACCAGGTGAACCATTTATTCCCGAAACTGTCAGCGTTGAAAGCCCCCTTGATAATTCATGTTTAATTGTCCAACCAGCAAGTTGTAATAGAACCAACAATAAACTCGACAACAAATGTGAAATTAACAAAGTGAAGTTAACGGAGCATAATATGAATAACGACAAAATCAGTAAAGCTAAGGTCTCGCGAAGTTACTCTAGACGCAATCTTAATTCTCCCCCTTACTGTGAGTCATTGTCGCTGAAATCGCTTGGAAACTTGCCTCTTATCGAAATATCCAAGCCATTTATAACTCAGAAGAAGGAAAGCTTTTTAGAAAACCCATGAATGATAATACAACTAGCACTGAGACAGTTACTCAGCATGTGTGCATTGGCCAAATGCCATCTGATATCTCTGAATTTATTGTCTCAGACGGCGACGAATGCATGTCTGAGTGTGACAATACTATAAAATAACTGTCCTTTTCGGCAGAGCTTTCTGGAGCGTCCCCCGCCCTTGCCTCATGTTCGAAGAGCGGAATGGTTGGCGCATTTAAATCTTGTTCGCCGGCTGACGGCAAAGTAAATTCTAAAGAAAATGAGAGAGAATCACATGAAAATTACAGTTCGATTCCCGTTGAACTTCTTGTTCAAAAAATTCCTGTGAGAATAACCCATCGCGTATCAAACTTTCAAAGAAAAATAAATGCAAAACCTAGACAATTAAGAACACTACAGCATCAATCGGTTCCAGTACAAGGGAAAAGTTTCAACCGTAGAAATAACTTAATTTATATTAGTGGCCACCAAACCAAAAAAACGCCCTTACTCTCTTCTCTACCGAATTTATTTGTTTCTAATTCAAGATCGCTGATCAGCAAGATTGACGAACTGTCTGCTACAGTAAAATCCTATACATCAGACATTGTCGTTGTTACCGAAACGCGGCTTTCTTCAAATGTTCCTAATTCAGCAATAGATTTATGCGGTTATTCCTTACTGAGGCATGATCGTTCCGACGGCAGACGAGGAGGTGGAGTCTGTGTCTTTGTAAAGGACATGCTTCCGTTCATTCATCTTAAAGAGATTGAAAGTCACGAATATGAGTCGCTTTGGTTACTCTTAAAACCTCACCGCTTGCCTCGTGGTTTAAATTCAATTGTATTTGGAATCGTGTACCATCCACCTGGAAGTGACGATAAAGCCCTTCTTTCACACCTTACCGAATCAATCGATTCTGTCCTTTCCACCAATCCCGGTGCAGGAATTATTTTGGCCGGAGATTTTAACCAATGTAAACATCGCCAGTTATGCAGTTCCTTTAACCTCAAGCAGTTAGTCAAAGACGCTACTAGAGGAAAGAATATTTTAGATAAAATATTTACCAACATTTCTAAATTTTATAATTCTGCCCTGGTAATTTCTCCAATTGGACATTCCGATCATAATTCCATCGTTCTTAAACCTCTTCCAGCTAACTCTTATGGTGGCACAAGGTCTACACGTTTAGTACGAGACTCTCGTCCAACCAATCGTCGAATTGTTAGCGATCATCTGTCGAAAGTTAATTGGTTACCTTTGCACCATATGGAATCTTGTGACGAGCAGTTCCAGTATTTTTCCACTATCGTTGATAATATCATAAACGAATATTTGCCTTGGAAACAAATCAAAATTGATTCTAGTGACAAGCCCTGGATTACTTCCGAAATAAAATCTCGCATTTCCAAGCGGCAGACAGCATGGGCGGCTGGTAATAACCTGATGTTCAGATTCTATCGAAACAAAGTCAATGCACTTTGCAAAAAGGCACGACTAAATTACTACAATAAAAGTATCGCGGGCGTTCAACAGTCCGATTCTCGTAAATGGTGGTCAGCGGTGAAGAATATTGCCGGTTTTCAGTCTTCTAAGAATGTATCTACAATGATGTTCCAAGGTAAATCCTACTCTGATGCCGATTTAGCAAATTTGCTCAACGACAAGTTCGTTGCTGTAGGGTCCTCCCTACACAATCTAAACTGGCTCCCCCTTCCCACAAATGACATTCCAGATGATTTCTGCATCTCTGTTGAGGAGACTGAAAAGGCCCTATTATCATCTAAACTTCATTCATCTGCTGGTCCCGATGAAATTCTTTCTTGGCTTCTCCGGGAAAATGCTTCAGTGTTGTGTCGACCTTTGTGTTCTATTTTTAATTCATCAGTTCGTGAAGGATTTGTTCCCTCAATATGGAAGGCAGCAAATATTACACCAGTTCAAAAATCTACGCCTCCTAAAGATGTTGATTCTGACTTCAGACCAATCTCCCTCACACCAATTATCAGCAAGATTCTTGAATCCTTTCCCTACAAATGGCTACTTGACTCCGTCTCAAAAAAAATTGATTCCTTGCAATTTGGTTCGCTGAAGGGTTCAAGCACTAGTATGGCATTAATCGACATGCTACATAAATGGTTTGAAGCAGCTGACAAACAAGGTAACACTATACGGATTTGTTTACTTGATTTTTCCAAGGCGTTTGATAGATTAGATCATAACATTCTGTTGCAAAAATTGAAAGACATGGAAATTCATCCCGTGTTACTCAATTGGATCGCAAACTTCCTAACAGGCAGACAACAAAGAACCCGTGTTGGTCAGTTCTTTTCTGAGTGGAAGTTTTTAAACGCCGGCGTCCCACAAGGAACGAAGCTTGGCCCGCTATTATTTTTGATCATGACTTGGCTGTAGCGGATGAAACTGTTAAATTTGTCGATGATACTAGCCATTGGGAAATAATATCAAACAAGTCCCCTTTCCAGTTACCCGCTAACATCATCAGCTGCTCTGAATGGTCATCAGACAATAATATGAAGTTAAACGTATCAAAGACCAAAGAATTGCGTGTCTGCTTTTCTAAGCTTACTCCATCGTTTGCCCCTATTACCATTCGCGGTCAAGAGGTCGACGTCGTTTCCGAGGCCAAACTATTGGGCGTTGTCCTTTCGGACGACCTCAAATGGAACTGCCATATTGACTACATTTGCAAGAAAGCCGCGAAGCGTTTGTACGGTCTGCGCCTTCTTAAAAGAAATGCTTTACCTTCTCATATTCTGATCTCAACCTATTGTACACATATTCGACCAATTGTCGAATATGCTTGTCAGGTGTGGCATTATGGCCTTCCTCATTACCTGAGTGATCAAGTTGAAAAAATACAAAAAAGGGCATTAAAAATTATTTTCCCTGGAACTATCTATGCTGAATGTTTGCTTAAAGCTAACTTGATGACTCTTTACGAACGTAGAACTGTCCTTTGCAAGCGACTTTTTTCGAAGATGTTGGAACCCACTCATAAACTGAATGCCTTAGTACCGCCTAAAAGTCTTCAAACTTATAATCTGAGGTCTTATCCCAACTTATTAGTACCTAGGTGTAGAACTGAACGTTTTTCGAACAGTTTAATTCCTGCTGCGTCTCGTGCTTATAATAATAAGTAAACTTTAGATTATTATCGTTATTTTTATCTAACTTACCTATTTTTACCTGTAAATATAGAATAGATTGAATACCTATGTTCTTATACCCTGTAATTCCAAAGTAATTCAGTTGTTACTGCTAGTTTGGAAATTTATAATAATAATAATAATAACTAGTGCCATACAAAGATTTGATGAAATTTGTTGGAGAGCAAAATATTGGTAAGCTTAATAACATACCCCGTGCCTTAGCTGAGAGGGAAATTGAAAAAGAAAGTGAAGAAATTAGCAATAACTTTCTACTATTAATTCCCGGGTATTACATTACCTTAGAAAGCGCTTGTTGGAACTGGCTGATTTATATCTTTATATTGAAAGCCAAGTTCCTGGTTCTATTAATTGGTTAGGTCGGGAAAAGGGCCATTTTCTGGTTGCCTTGGGAGCAGATGGTGCTCCATTCGGCAAATCAAATGAAGCTTGTTCATGGCTTGTCTCTTTCTTGAATGTTGTTGAAAAAGTAGCAAGCCCTGATCACAATTTTCTTATTTGTGGTGCTGATTGCAAAGAAGACCACCCATCAATGGTGGAATATGCAAAGCATTTAAGATCTGAAGTCACAAGTATAGAAAGTAAAACCTTCAGTGTAAGATCTCAGGAAGTAAAGTTTGAGATCAAACTAATACCAGCTGATATGAAATGGCTTAGCACATTTTCAGGTGAAGTTGGTGAACTAAACAATGCGGCCACTTACCCATGTCCTTTTGCTAATGTGAAAAAAGATGAGCTTAAGTTAAGGGGTCACAGTTTGGGAAATGGACCAGAGCACAAATGGTAACCTTGGTCATACAAATCTAGAGAAGTTATTGCAAAAAAGGTTGCACAATATAAAAAAGGTTAAAAAAATACTTGTGAAAAATGCTTCTCAAAGTCAGCGTGAAAAGGTTTGCAAGAAAATTGCTGAATTGAAGTCGAGGCAAGACTTTGAGCCTCTTCTTGGTCCTATGGTCCAACTTGCCAAATGTAATCCCTTGCACTTGGGAAACAACTGCTGGGGGCACTGGCACATGCTTCTTTTTAGCCATATCATGACCAATGCTAAAATTGGCAACTCCATAAAATCTGTGTACCAATTGCCTGAAACCAACCCTTTGCGTAAACATTTAAAAGTGCTTAGGTTTAAAATTAAGTGCAAGAGGTTGTACAATAAAATAATACGGTGGTTTAAAGAGAAGCGTGGCATGTCTAATTTTGAGTGTAGATTCACTGGAGAGGAGACGAAAAAGTTTTGCGATGGTTTCACATATCTCATCATAGCAAACATTGATGAAGATATTGAGAAACCCAGCAATGTTTTTCCTCTATCTCTTTACAAGATGGGTATTCACCTTAGGAACAGCATATCCCTTACTAGTAGAGTTTCTGATATTTGCAGTACTGACTTGGCAAAACTTGAATGTGAGTGCAAGCAGTACTTCAATTTATCATCTCTTTTTCACTCTGTAAATTCAGTGTGTGGTCAAAGGGACATGCTGTCCCATTTCATACCAAACAACTTGTTGAAGACTTGGGAGTGGGTCTCGGAATAAACTCTATGCAAGTACGAGAGTCGAAGCATCAACAAATTGCTTCCTTTGCAGAATTTTCCTTAGTTAAGAACAGATGGGAAAAGGTCTTTAGACACGAGTATATGTCCTTGATTTGGTTAAGGAAGCAAACTCCACATCTGGATAGTTACAGGAAGTGCAAGGATAAGTACTCTCCAGACCGATGCTTCAACTCTGGTTATTGCTTGTGTGGCATTGCACTTAGTGATAATGGTGAATGTAAATATTGTGGGTCAGACCTATCAAATGAAATAAGTACTTGTGCCATCACTGGAAGCATAACAGAAATAATGAAGAAAATACTGAGGCATGCTGAATGTGGGATGCAATTTCTGAAAAGCTAGCGGTCAAATAACTTTTGTGAGCTTTCTTGTATATAAAATGTCCTGGTTATAAAATGTTTATCAATTATTTATTTGTTTCAAGAAATAACCTTGTTGTTAACTTATTATATTAAAGCTGATTGTAGCCTTGTATTTATTATATATTTATTATAAAGTTGAAATAAAATATCTTTCTTATTGCTGCTTTGTGTTTTTACATCAATAGCCGTATTACCAAAATGACTTAGGAATGATAATGATAATGATAATGAAATTACATTTGTATAGCGCATTTTTCATGTGGATATGTTCAAGTGCGCTTCTTATATAATAAATATTATACAAATTATAAATATTAGATAAAAATATATTACAATAATGTTAAGAATTTATAAAAGTATTACAGCGATAACTAGAAGTAAAAATGGAACATGCACAAGCATTAATTAAAAGCTTCTAAGAATAGAAATGTCTTTTGTAACTTTTTAAATGTAGCTGTTGAGGATGCAATCCTGATAGCTTTGGGAAGAGCGTTCCATAAAGTTGGGGCAGCGAGAGAAAATGATCGATCACCCAAGGTCTTAAGAGTTTTAAGTCTGGGGCGTTCTGGTAGACACGGATCAGAGTGGGATCTAAGGTTGTAACTGGTGGGTTTTTTAATTGAGAGGAGTTCTTTAATCTACGTTGGAGCTTGATTGTTTAGGGCCTTCTATGTAATAAAGAGGATTTTAAAGTCGATGCGGGACTTAATCGGGAGCCAATGAAGATCATATAAGACAGGAGTGATATGATCGAACCGAGGAGTATTGCAGATAAGCCGGGCTGCCGCGTTTTGAACAGCTTGTAATTTCCTCAATTGGGTTGAAGGAAGGCCATAAAAAAGACTGTTACAGTAGTCCAGGCGGCTTATAACGAAAGCCTGCACAAGAATCTGAGTTGTATGTTGATCGAGGAACTTCCTAATACGTCTAATACGTCTAATGTTATAAAGTTGAAAGAAGGCAGCTTTGCAGCATTTAGTAACATGGGTGTCCATTTTCATCTGCGAGTCAAACCAGCAGCCGAGGTTCTTGGTGTTCTCAACACAAGTAACAACATTGCTGCCAACACGAATATTGTTGAAGTCGATTTTTTCGAGTTGTTGCCACGTCCGATTAGAATTACTTCAGTTTTTCCCTCGTTGAGTTTCAGTCTATTAGCAAGTATCCATCGTTTGATGTCATCAATGCACATCTCAACAGTTCGGACTGCAGTTTCTTGGTCGATACGAGAATCTGCGCGAAACGAGATATAAAGCTGGGTGTCGTCGGCATAAGCATGTGCATCTGGTAGGTGACGCTCTATTAACTCAAGTAGTTCGCTTACATAAAGAACGAACAGAAGCGGACCTAGACACGATCCCTGAGGAACACCACAATCAACATTGAATTTCTCGGAAGACACATCGCCAACTGTAACCCTTTGTGTTCGCTGAGAAAGGTAAGATGTAAACCATTTAAGAACAGTTCCAGATAGACCGAATTTCAATTGCAGGCGCTGAAGTAGGAGAACATGATCGACGGTATCAAACGCAGCACTGAGGTCAAGCAGTACAACTAAAGTGACGTGTTGCCTATTCATGTTCATAAGTATATCGTTCTTAACACGCAGTAGTGCTGTCTCGGTGCTATGAAATTCTCGATATGCCGATTGATTACCAGGGTACAAATGATGAAGTGATAGATGATTATGGGATTGATTGCAAACTGTCCTTTCGACTAGTTTTGAAACGTATGGGAGGTTGGAGATAGGTCGTAGGTTTTCAAATATTACTTCCAAGCCTTGTTTCTTGAGTCTTGGCTGGACATCAGCCTCTTTCCAGACACATGGGAAAATGCCAGACTCTAGTGAAAGGTTAATCATTTTGGTAATAACAGGCAGAAGAACATCCAGGCATTCGACGACCAATTTAGTTGGGATAGGATCCAAGGAACTAGATTTCTTGTTTGACAAGGTTATTAGCCGTTCAGTATCATCATCGCTCATAGGAAAAAATTCTTGATAAATCTGGTCACTGTTCAGTGAGACCGACGGCATGTCAGAAAAAACTGCTTGTTCATAGGTTGATGCTGTATCAAGTTCAGAGCGAATATTGATAATCTTTTGAGCAAAGAATTGTCCTAAATCATTAGAGAGAGCATTGCTGTCGTTATAGTGGGGAAAGGCAAGATCAGAATCATGTCTAAAAAGACCTTTAGTTGCACGAAATAGTTTCTTCTGATCTTGAATGTTCTCTGAGATAAACTGTCTATAGAAATTTTGCCGCGCTTGGTTCATAAGAAACGTTGTATGATTTTTCGCAGTTTTAAAAGCAAGGAAATCAGTCGGAAGTTTAGTACGTCTCCATTTTCTTCCTGCTTTCCTTCTCAAACGCTTTGCACATTTAATCTCATCATTGTACCATGGGACAGCAGGCCTGGTGGTAATAGTCTTGGAGATCAGTGGCGCTTGATGATTTAGAGCAGTCATCAAGGTATTATTATAGCATGAAACCAGGTCTATAAGCTTGGATGGTGGGTTTTTACAGAGGTCGGAAGAGGATATTTCTTCTTTTAAAGCCTCGATATTGACAGATTTAAGTTTACGAAAAGAAATATGTTTCTGTGTTAGTGGTACTGCGTTAGATTCAAGGTTACAAAGAACAGCGTTATGGTCAGAAAACAAATGGTCAATCCTCGGAATGCTGGTGATGATATTATCAGTCTGCTTGGTGATTATTAAATCAAGGGTATGGCCAGAGCAGTGAGTGGCGCCTCTGACATGCTGTTTAAGTCCGGTACTTTCAAGGAGATCAAGGAATTTAATGGAATCTAAGTTGTCCGTGCAGTCGACGTGGATGTTGAAATCACCCGTTATTAAGAGAGGGTCGTTGGACAAAGTAATTGATTCCAAGAAGTTGGTAAACTCGGAGAAAAATACACTTGTAGTCACCGGATGAGCGTCTGAGTACGGAGGTCGATACACAATTATTAAATGTAGGCGGCAAGATCCATTAACAACGCTCCATTCAGAGTATTCAAAGGAACGAAGTTCGCCAGCAGCTAGTTTTTGACAGTAATATTCTCCTTAAAAAAAATTCCTGTCCCACCACCTACACGATTAGAGCGGGGGTGGTCGAGGAGATTGTATCCATTTGGCGTGCACAATACTCTAGTAGCCGACTCAGTGCTTGTAAACCAAGTTTCAGTGAGTGATACAATATCTGCTTTGCAATCAACAACATAGTCGATAAATTGAGCAGCCTTGTTGTTAAGTGACTGTGCATTAAGTACACATAGTGTAAACAGTTCACCGATCCTATTGTTGTTAATATCTGCAGCGGGAGTATCAGGGAGCAGTGTTATGTTTATTATGTTGTTTTCGTTTACTGTTCTATTATGTGCATATGCAGATTTGCATGGTGGTCGATCCGTGACGAGGGTCTCAATGTTGTTCTTTTTATAATCAGATAGTATATTTTCTTGTTGTCTCCCAGCCTTCCCATAACAATGCAATAAGCCTGAATTCTCGAGGTCTGTCAGGAATTGGGGGCAAGCCATGTGTGTACGACACTCCAAGTTACGGCGCAAGCTCGTCGACATGTCCGGAGAGAAAGATAAGCGGCAACCAACAGAACGCTGCGGTTGAATACAAGATGATCTTTCTTCCGTTCAAACTTAAATTACATACTGTGTCATTCCCAGTTTCTGGGCCAGGGTTAAGCGAAATGTCCATGTATATTGTTATATTGATAACAGGTTCCGAGTCGGGTACAGCTAGGCTAATATAGCCATGTTTATGCCATGTGAACTGTCTGCATCAAAGCTTCGATTTATTCGACATTCGCTTCGCCTTCATTAAAGAATTTGAAAAAGGCAAGAATAGTTGCTGATGCGCCGTTGAATTTGTAGTTTCGACATCCGTGAAAGGTTCTGTGATAGATCTAGGGTATATTAAACAGGAACCGACAGAAATGCCAAAAGAAACAAAAGTGGTGCTTTGTTTGTATTAAAGAAGGCAGTAGAAGGTTAGTTTTGCCCGTGCTAACATATTAACCATTAAGATTATACCATGCAAAATTTAGAGTGACTATATTATGGCACTCAGTTGTAACACTGTTACAAGTGTTAGACAGTGTTAAACAACGTTACACAGTCTAAGAGCACTACATTGTGTTACACACCCTACCCCTGATCTACTCCCCCCCTACTCCTACCCAACCTCTGCCCACCCCTTCCCCTATCCCTAAATAAAGAAAGCGTAACACTGTCATTCGAGTATATAACTAATAATACACTCTAAATCTTGCATCATATGCCAGGTTCCCCCTTGATGAGGCAAATTATCCAACGTTAACAGAGAGTAAATAGAACACTGATTCACATTAACTTCTGTCTATCGCCAAACGATTTTACTGGTCAAGTGAAGACTTTTGTTTCTTAACAGTCAACAACCAAGCCAAACAAGGTATGACTGCTAGTTATAATTATAAAATATTATTTGTTTGCACAAAATGGCAATTAAAACATTCAATAAACTTCATATTTGGAACTTTAACAAATAAAGCAGGAAAGTTTTGTTCTTTATCACACCTTCTAATATTGACAAACTGAAATTTGTATAAATTGTCTACTGTGTTAATACATTTCTGTTGTCGTATAAATATGAATGTTAAATAAATTGTGGTACCCCATCTGTATTCCAGCTTCCATAGTGACACATAACTGTCACAGTTTCTTTTTGTTCATTGTAAGTCACAACAAATGGTTTATTGTCATTGACAATAATATTAACACGACCCTTTCCGGATACATCTTTCTTTAAACTTGTTTTACAATTACCAGCGACAGCAAATAGTTGACCGAGTTTTCTGTAGTTACTAATTTCGACGGTGCGCTCTTTCACTTTCCTTTCTTTGGCTGTACGTTTCAGGTGAATATTTACAGCAAACGAGGAAGAACATGTCAAGGTTTTAATAATATGTTCAAAAACCAGCGTTTGTAATCTTGAGCTGAATTCCACTACCCAAGGATGGGAATGCCTGGCTGTAAAATACAGCCTACGACTAATTATAGATTTTGCCCAGAACGTAAGCTCAGAACAAGCCATGTCGTGTAAACACGAAGCTGCAAGCTTCTCTTCGGGTGAATACTTGTTAGAATACGCAATAATAGCCTCTTTCTTCCCATGAGAAAGCTCACGAAAAAAGTCTTGGACTGCCAGCTTTTCTGAAATTGCATCCCACGGTAGAAGTCCCCAATATTTAAGCTCAACTTGTTTGAACAAAATAATCCTGCTGATTTATAATTTGAGTAGAAGCGCACAAACGTTTTCTCTTGTTCTGATTAGCACTGGCAACTATAGCTTGTTTTTCAATCTCAGTTTCTTGTCGTTGTTTTCTTTTTTCATAATTTCTAAAATTCCCAAGTCTAGTTTGTTTCTCGTGATCATTTTCTAAAGCTCGTTTTGCTTTTCGATACTCCCTAGCATTTTCAAGTCTAGTTTGTTTCTCGTGATCAATTTCTAAAGCTCGTTTTGCTTTTCGACACTCCCTAGCATTTTTAAGTGTGGTTTGTTTCTCATGTTGAGTTTCTGAAGCTCGTTTTGCTTTTTGATACTCCCTAGCATTTCCAAGTCTAGTTTGTTTCTAAGTTTCAGTTTCTGCTGCTTGCTTAGCTTTTTTATACTTTCTAGCGTTTTGCAGTCTGCTTTGTTTCTGACTCTCAGTTAACTCTGAACAATTTTGTTTTACATGCTATTTTTCACTTTCGCTTGAAACAAGTCCGCTTATTTGTGTTATATCACAATTTAACTGAACAGTTACTCCTTTAACTTCGAAGGGTGTTTCATTACCTGGAGGTACAGTACTCTGGAAATATATCACCAGGCTTTCTATACTATCAACAGATGCTAATATGCATTTTCCAAAAGGGTGTGGAATCCCATATAAATCTCTTGAATGAGAATCAAATACTTTAAAGGTTCCTTCAGAAGTCTTAAAAATTGCAACAGTATTACAACCAATTGTCAACAGACAATGTTGATAATTTAACTGAGTTTCCGCAAACAGATTATTAAGAGAATTATATATAGAATAATAAGGTAGAGCGGTATTTGCCATGAATAAGTCACCAGCAAACGGGTCACCATATTGAATACAATAAATGCCATCAAAAACCGAAACCATTTCAGGCACGTCAGTCAAAAGCAAGTAGCTTTTCTTAACAGAATTGCTTATAAAAGAATAAAGGTTATTTCCAGCACACAGTATGGAATCTAATACAGTTGAATCCCATGCATTTTCATTTAAGATATAATTATATATTATCGCAGTTAAAGACATTGCTAGACATTGTTTACCAGCATTTTGTCGAAAATTTTTGTATTTCCCTGGCTAAAATCAGCACATATTGTTTTAGTTGGATCAAGCACATCATATGTTGTGGGTCCAGGATTTAACTCTACATCATTTGCAATTCTCAACAACAATGGAACATACACAATGTAGCCTAACATTTGAGTGAATAACACTATCACTTGATTAAAACGTTTTAAGCAAAATGGTCTGCTTATTTTGTGTAGCATTGGCACATTGCCAATGGCTTGCTGATTTATTAGTATTTGTGGGGCAGTGGGACAATAGCTTGCCAATTTTGTTTGTAGCAGTGGCACAATGGCTTGCTGATTTATTTGTGTGGCAGTGGCACAATGGCTTGCCAATTTTGTTTGTAGCAGTGGCACAATGGCTTGCTGGTTTGATTGTGTGGCAGTGGCACAATTTCTTGCCGATTTTGTGTGTAGTAGTGGCACAATGGCTTGCTGATTTAATATTTGTGTGGCAGTGGCACAATGGCTTGCCGATTTTGTGTGTAGCAGTGGCACAATGGCTTGCTGATTTAGTTGTGTGGCAGTGGCACAATGGCTTGCCGATTTTGGTTGTAGCAGTGGCACAATGGCTTGCTGATTTAATTGTGTGGCAGTGGCACAATGGCTTGCCGATTTTGTTTGTAGCAGCGGCATTGTATACAGAGTCAGAGACACAGAGTTGTATGGCAGCACCTAAAAATTTAAAATAAAAATACAATTGATTCATTCGTTTCAAAACTCGTTGTATTTGTGATCAAACTTTCATCTTACCTTGAAAAGTATTTTCGATAAACAGCCACAGGCCCAGACGTAAAAAAATATTTCGATATTATTAAATAACAGCCAGACATAAAATTTGCAGCAAGCTGGAATCAAAATTTACAACAGGCACGAGGCGCACACATAGCTATAGATGTCATAGTCCATGCCCCATGGTGGTGTTCGCGAGTCTCAACCAGGGTATTCGGAAAGTCAAATCGCCATCTGGAGTATGTTATTTTTTAAATTTCTGTGACGTCAAAAAACGTCATAAATCTGATCATCCAAACATTCGAACATTCGTACGTGCATGCAAATAAAATCGAGTTGTCGTTCGGCTATACATAACTCGGGCAAGCGGAAACGGACTGGTGCGAGAAAAACACATCGTCAAGAATAGGTGGCTGCCTTCGGCAGCAATAATTGTATTGTCAGTAGTCTCAGTATAAACTGTATATATATAGTATGTATGTATATAGTAGCTTATAAGTTGTCTAAGCCTTTTTTTTTAAACTTTTTTATTATTATTTATTTTTAGAAAATCTTCTTCCAAAAGATGACCAGGAATATGAAAAGGTAAAAACCCACATTGCATTACACATTACATGTTAATTAAGTTCGTATGGAATGTATCAGTCAGTCATAGGTAAACCAACCACAGATTAGTGGGATAAACATCCGTGTCATATCTGCTAATATGTTATATCCATTTTTAAGTTCCATTTTTTAAGTCCCATGTTGGAGTAAAACGTAATTTGGCTCCTACTTTATTCAACATTTTTTCTGTGTTAGTGTAATGTACTCAGGTGAATAAGATGCTTGTGATGTTACTCTGAGTGTATATCCACACCGGGCAAGCTTGAAAATATGCCTGACCACGGTGGGAATCGAACCTACGACCTTTGGAATACTAGCCCAACTGAGCTACGCAGTCAGATCGGTTCGAGTATGTGATATTTCGGAACTGAGTCTAGCTCCTTCGATATCGATGTAATCTAGTAATCATGAATTTTTTCTGTGTTGGTGTAATGTACTCAAATAAATATGATGCTTGTGATGTTACTCTGAGTGTATATCTACACCGGGCAAGCTTGAAAAATATGCCTGGCCACGGTGGGAATCGAACCTACGACCTTTGGAATACTAGCCCAATGCTCTGCCAACTGAGCTACGCGGTCAGGTCAGGTCACATACTCGAACCGACCTGACCGCGTAGCTCAGTTGGCAGAGCATTGGACTAGTATTCTAAAGTTCGTAGGTTCGATTCCCACCGTGGCCAGGCATATTTTTCAAGCTTGCCCGGTGTGGATATACACTCAGAGTAACATCACAAGCATTTTATTCAACACGTTTATAAATGATATACCCAAATTATTTAGTAGTTCACGTGCTCCAGTAACTAAACCGCGAAATGGAGATTGAAAATTACTTTTAAGAAATCCGAAATTGTATTGTTCAGAAGACTAACCAAAGGCGTGCAATCATTTATCATCAAATTGCTTATTTGAAAATAACGTTTTAGAACAAGTAGATAAATATTGTTACCTTGGTATTACTTTTCGTTTTTCTGGTAATTTTAAACGAGCAGAAAAAATATTATATGGTAAAGCGTTAAGTGCCAATTTATAAAACACTTCTAAAATTTCTCTCCTTAATGGTAGTTCCAATTTTAATTACGCAGTTATGGCTGCGAAGTTTGGGGCCCATACTTACTTGGCAAAATATCTTTCGATATTTTTAAAACAAAAATTTTTAAAATAGCAAATGACGTAGAAAGACTGAATTTATGATTTAAATAAATTTAAAAATAAATTTAAAAATAAATTTAAAAAATTATGCAAAAGAATCCTAATGTATGGTTTACAAAATCTACAAACCTAGCGGTTTATGCTGAACTATACCCTGGATCAGGGGGGGGTTCCTGTTACCGCTAGCCAAGACCTCTGGCCCAGCACTAGGGAGTGTTCCCTTAACTATACAAATAGCTACACTTGTAAAATTAAGTACGACGGATTTTTTTCGCTAAAAGGTCAAAATTGCCATGTTTGAGAGCCTATATCTCAGAAACTATTCAACTAAATCAAAAAAGGTTGAAGAACTTTTTAATTAACTAACTTTTTGTGCTCTTTCCAAATGCGTAAAGACCCCACAAGTGATATAGGCATTTTAAATATCCGGATTTTGGGCATCTCGCTCGATAGAACTAATTGTTGAACAATTTCGTAGACGGAAATTTCTACCAGAGGGCGTAAGTAGTTGCATTTTTCGCAACTGCTCTTGGTTGGGTTTAATAAATGTATAAAATTTACACTCGAAAGGTCCATCTACAAAACTCTTTGTAGTTACCTATCATCGTATTATGCTATTATCATGGTTGAGCGCAGCATTGGTGAGTCGAATCAGCGACTCTGTACATCCATTGTGATGAGCAGCAACTGTCGTAACAAATCTCCACTCCATATTCTTTTCATGTAGGAAGTCTTTGATCTCTGTAGTATCTCTTCCTTCGGGACCCACCAATTTTCGGTCTCGTCCCCAGTCGCTATGTGTTGTGAATTTAGGGAGAAGGCGAAGGGGGGGGGGGCGAATGCATACGAATTAGTTTGAGGTGCGTGCTTGACCTTATCAAAAATGTTAGAATTTTTTCCAACTTGTAATTTTTCTCTGAATAGCCGGAATTGTCGTTTAACTACACATGTCTTCAACTATAACTGATACCTAAATTTAGTTGAATTTTTATGTTCTTTTCACTAGATAGAAAACGCTCCATTTCATGTTTCTCGTATAAGAAGAACAGAATTAAACAAAATTAAATCATTGTTCTCTTCCATGCCTGATGATGAAGATGTTGTTAGAACTGTTTATCTGACAGGTCAACCTGGATCTGGGAAGACAGAGTTAGCTCGACAATATGGTGAACAGTTTGAAAATGCGACATCCCCCAGTGATACATCTAAATGTTTGGTGATTACATTGAACGCCAAGTCAGAAGAATCCCTTATGAAGTCTGTTAAAGAAGCTACGCGAAATTTAAAGTTGCCAGTGTGTACGGAGCTAACAGATTATTGTCTTATCGATTTGATGAAAAACCTGAGAAATTATTTCCGTGGCTACAGTGGTGCTTGGCTTCTTATCATTGATGACATGTTTGGAAAGAAGGACTTCAATAAATTATTTCCACGAGCTGGTATCAAAGACTGGGGTGGTGGTCAGGTCCTGATCACAACACAAGATAATAATCTCGTACCAGCTGGTCATTTGTTTGCAAAGATATTGTCCTTGAACGAAGGTATGACCAAGGAAGATGCTCTTGCATTGCTGAAGAAGATCAGTGATGTTGAAGTTGATGATTTTGCTGAAGAAATTATTAAAGAGTTGCAGTCTCTTCCTCTTGCTTTGGCGTGTTGTGCAACATATGTTAGAAAAACAAGACAAGATCGTCCCTCAATACAGTTTGGATGGAAAGAATATCTAGACCTGTACCGTGAAAACATTCATCTTCAATACCGAACATTTTCCAATAACAATAACGTTTACCCTTTCTCCATGACGGCTGCTACTGCGATTGCTGTGATGCGAATGGCAGAAACAAGTGACGTTCTACGACTTACATTTTCGTTCCTTTCGTATTGTGTATTGCTTCCAGTTCCTTTGAATGTACTAGCACACCACGTTTTGGAAAATCTACCAGTCCAGAATGATAAGCGGCCAATAGCAATGGAAGAAATTAAAAATGAGATTTCAAGGTGTACACTACTCGTCCACGGACAGTCACAGAACGTTGAAACAATAAAATATCATCAGGTTATTCGCAGTGCTTTTCAAAGTGCAGAAAACACAAAACCTATTGAGCAGCGGGAACTTGAATTTGTCAAAATGATGAAATCTCTGAATGAGACACTAGATTTCATGGACAATACGTATAAAGAAGACGTACTTCTTAAAGTTCTTATGAGACCTCACCTGAAGTCATTTGTCGATCAGGCCAATGATATGTCCTGGAATAATACAGCTGAATTTGTCCTGATTTCCATGAAAAGAGGTCAGTTTCTTTTCTCAACGTCGAACATGCCCGATGAAAGCGCTGTCAGGAGTCTGAAATTTCTGCATAATATTTCTTTAGAACTTAACTTATCCGACGAGAGTCGTTGTGATATATTGGCCAGCCTTGGGTTCTATTATCTGGAGCTTGACTGTGTTGAAGATGCTTTGAATTTTCTATGTGAAGCTTATTCCATGACGGAGGGTAAAAGTGAGAAAGAATGGTTGTTGTTGAGATGTCGTATCTCGTTTAACTTGGCGCGGACGTATTGCAGAGCGGACAGTGTTGACCTTGCCATAGCGATGATGAAGACGTCAATCGAATTAGCCAAGAAAGTTTATATCAATGAAGAAGACAACATTATGAGCAGGTTTGTTTGGCTTGCTGGCTTTTACCTTTCGTGGGATAGATTTTGGAAACTGGCTGAAGTGGTGGATGAAGCAAGGAAATTTTTTAATAGTTGTCCACCAGATTGTGTTAGTGTAAATAGAGCACGTTGTTTGAGTCACTTGGCGATCGTATATGTCCACAGCTCGGTGTTTTTTCAGACGGATAACGTTTTGTTTGCCGAAGATTGTATGAAGGAGTCTCTGGACATTTACGAACAAGTATTAGGAGCAGACGTTTCTTCGTGCCCAGAATACTGTACATTGTTTGCCTTGTTTTCAATTATCAAGTTACTTCAATCAGAAGAAGAAACAAGTGAAGCAAGAACACAACTTGAAAAAGCTCTTGAATACTGCATTCAAGTTGATGACAAAGTAACCCAGAGTATGATAGCTGCCAGTAAGAAACATTTTCTCAATAATTCAAGTTGGTTGCAAGATTGGTTTGCTTGGATTCGAAACTTAACAAGGGGGCGTGTATTATATGCTGCGCCAATTAACGTTGCTGACGACATTTTGGAAGATTATAACAGTGGAAGAATATCACCATCTCGAAGAATTATAAACCGTCTCAAGACAGGAAGAAGATTTTTAATTCGGGTCGACCATGCTTTCCTTTCCCTCTTATTCTTTTTAGTTTGCTATATTATATATTTTCTCTGGAACGTTTACCTTCCGCATATAGGAAAACACGTACGCTGATGTAATACTACCGCAGGGTGTTTAAAAAAAAACTGAACAGATTTGAAATATATTGCTCTCAATTTCGCAAAACAGTTCGTGGTATCAAGTTTTTGTCATATATACATTCCTTGAATACCTATAATGTAGAATGAAAACAATACTCGAACTCAAATTGTGTAAACCAGGGGGTGTTTCTTTTCCAATAAACTGAAAAGGGCTTGCGCACGATATTTAAAAGCTTTAATCGTATTTTGAGTTAATGGAGCTAGGGAAAAACGTTGGGTTTTTAATTACTGTACAAAATTTCAGACAATTTTCTGTAGTTAGTTAAGCCATTTAACTATTCATTTTTTCCTAAAAAATCAGCCTTTCGCATGCTTAATTATGCCTTTACCTAATTTGCATATTGCTGACATATGCCAATTAGGCAAATGCATTAATTAAGATAGATCATAGGTAGATAGATCGTTTATTAAGAATTATAACCTTGGTTTTACACGGTTTTACAGCAAATTTAAAAAGGTTTTACATATAAAATTAGAAATTTTAAGATAAAATGCTAGAACTACTGTGGTCATTGTACCGTCCAGCGGCTGCAATTATAAAGGAGTTTTTGAAACGGTCCGTTTTACATATAGGTATAGTGAAATTTCTTTTGTTCCTTAACAACACACCATACATATCCAATATTACGATACGCAACGAATGGTAAAAATGTTTTAACCATCGGTAAATACGAATACCTATTCGTCACCTGCAGTGCCAAAAGAAACATGATCTCATTATTAGGATATTCACCGACGGTATGCCGCGGTGATAGGATTCACAATCTGTCATCTGCAGTGTCAAAAGAATCATGAAGAGATGAAACATAATCTTATCTTAATTGACGAGTACAGCCTTCTCGGCTATAACGCCTGGATATATGACTTCATGAGTTTGCTTTGTTTTTAAGAAACACGATTTTGACGCTTTATATAAACGCACTGACATTTAAAACACCAGACCTTGCATTTAAATATTACATGTCTACATGAGTTTGCTTCGTTTTTAAGAAACATGGTTTATATATACGCATTGATATTTAAAACACCGCAGTCCATGCATTTAAATATGATATGTCTCCATGATTTTGCTTCGTTTTTAAGAAACACGCTTAGTTATATATAAACACATTGATATTTAAAACACTAGTCCGTGCATTTAAATTCATGTTTCCTTTGGCACTGCAGGTGACGAATCGGTATTCGTATTTACCGATGGTTAAAACATTTTTACCATTCGTTGCGTATCGTAATATTGGCCTTAACACGGAAATTACGCTCAGGTTATAAGGCAGAAGCCCATGAAGTTTATCATTTGGGTTCATCACAATTCACAAAGATGACACACTACGATGCATCGATGATCGGAGAGTTTATGCAGTTTCGACACAGTACCAACGCTTCAGAATACGGTACATCGTAACCATATATGATCAGTCAACGCTCGTTCCTGAATTCGTTCCAGCATATAAATGTTTAAAAACTCGGGGAGGTTAAAATGGAAAACTTGGCGAGAATATAGTAACAGTGAACGGATACATGTCACGTAAAAGTTAACTAAGTCGTTAGATGGTACTTTTTCCCTTTTCAGTTATGACAGAAAATAGAGTCTTTTGTACGCCTTTTTGACGATGTTGCATGTTGATGTGCTCATTCCACTTTAAATTAATCTGCAATGTAACTCCTAGAACTTTGACAGATCTAACAACGTCTATTGTGTTTCCATTAATGGTAATATTTTCATATGTTCCAGGGTTTTTTCGAAAGATATTCTCAATTCCTTACATTTTTTCGGTTGGATTTGGAACATATTGTCGTTAGACCAAGGGGATGCCTCATCGGCCATTAGTTGCATTGAACTTGATTTATCTTTTTCCACAATATCGAACGAGGTTGTATCGTCAACATATATTACGTTTCCATCAGCGCCGGATATTTCTAAGTCGCTGATCATTATTAAAAATAGCCATGGCCCTAATTTAGTGCCCTGCGGAACGCCGGCCACTACATCTTTCCATTCCGAGTATATATCATTTGCAATTTTTACCCTTTGTTGTCTGTCCATCAGGAAATCGCATATCCAATTGATGATATAGGGATTGATACCATAATCTTTTAATTTCGTGATGAGCAGAGAATGATCGATCAGATCGAAAGCTTTCTTATAGTCCATAATCAGCACTCGCACATCTGAGCTCGTGCCGTCGGTGGCTTTTAACCAATGGTGAATAAGGTTGATTAAAGCGTGGGTTGTTGAAGATTGTGGTAAGCATGCAAAGGCTGATTTTTTAGGAAAAAATGTAAGTTTGCGTGAAACTGAAGCAAATTCTCTGAAATTTCGTGCAGCAATTAAACACCCAGCACATTTTTACCCATTAACTCAAAATACGATTAAAGCTTTTAAATCTCGTGTGCAAGCCATTTGTAGTTTGTTGGAAAAGACACCACCCCCGCCCCCTGGTTTACAAAATTTGAATTATATTATACATTATACGTACCCAAAGAAGTTATTTACTATGCGGTCTTGCCACCAGTGATTAGCCTTTTACTGTTATATTATATATAGATGAGCACACACAATGTAGATCACAGAAAATGTTACATCAACCGCTCTAAATGAGCTCATGGAGTAATTAAAAGAATACAAAGGTATTATACTATCATGTCAACTATATTTTATTGTTGAAATGTATTTATTTGACTAATTTAAGAATGTTTTTAAAATAGCTTTGGTTGACTATAAATTTGTTTATAAAAACCGTTAAAAACCCGCAACACCTGATCATTCATTCTGAGATTGGGCCGCCTGTGCAGAGAGATGAAGGATTTGACATTTTCTCTAACATTTTGCATGGATTTTACGATTTAAATGGGCGTAATTTTGTCATTTGTTAATTGTTACTAGTTATGGTACTCGTAATTCAGTAATTGTAAAACGTTTCTCTTATAATAGTTCTTATCGCTTCTATGTTGTTGAGACAAAAGTATTTTTAATTAAACCAACTAGTTTTACTAGTATTGGGGTGAACGTGGGTAGGAGATTTTTTGTTCAAAAAGTAGTTGAAATGTTAAAAAAATTTGCGTACGATGAATAGAAGTCGTCTTAACACAAAATTCAAAATTAACCGAGACTTACCTGTAAGTTGATGTTTGATTTGGATTCTGTGAGTCATTGGTCGGGAGCGAAGGAGTCATGTGATTATATGAGAAAGCGCGCGAACCGGAAGATCAGTTTTTAACCAGATCGTACTCGTACCAATACGTGGGTCGGGTTTCAACACCATTGGGTGGGCACATGACTCCTTCGCTCCCGACCAATGACTCACAGAATCCCATACATGTCCAATACTAACGCAAATGTCCAATGGACATATGAAATGTCCATTGGACATATGACTGTCCATTGGATCCAATGGACAACTCAAATGTCCATTGGACATGTGCATGTCCAATGGACATATCGAATGGCCATTGGATATTCGAGTGTCAATTGGATCCAATGGACTAAACCGGACTTTGTAACCACCGGGAAAGGGCATCGTGGATATACTGAATGAGTATAATGCCCAATGGTCTATTAGATCCAATGGACATTTGAAATGTCCAATGGACATATGAAATGTCCATTGGACATTTGACGACCAAGGAATGTCCATCAATTGAATATATAGATACTTCTCAATGCTTCCTTGTATATATTATATTGCTAACGACGCAATATATCAATATATTATGTTGTTTTGTTCCTATAAGAAAGCACGCAATATATCAATATAATATGTTGTTGCTTCGTTCTTAAGGAACGACGCAATATATCAATTTATTTTTCACCCTGCTCGGTTTCCTTTGTTCTTGTCGGGGAATATATTCAATATTCCCCTCTAATCAATTTCCGTTTAATAATCCCCTCTAATATTCACCTGTAATTAATAATCCCCTCTAATATTCACCTGCAATGTCTTTGCAGCACAAAAAATGAGAAAAAACAACATCGCGAAGGCAATATGGCATTAAGAATT